GTCTCCCTGCCTGAGCTGATGGAGACCGTCTCAGACCTGGTGTTGAGGACCCCCAGGATGTTGGTCCTGGGGGACTTCAATCTCCATGCCGAGTCTGGTCTGACCGGGGCGGCTCAGGACTTCATGGCCTCCATGATGGCCATGGGGCTGTCTCAACATGTCTCCGGCCCGACCCATGAACGTGGACACACTCTGGACCTGGTTTTCTTGACGGGGCAGGAAGAGGGTGGTCTGAGGATGAAGAATTTATGCTTGACTCTCCTGTCATGGTCAGATCACTTCCTGGTGAGGTTTGTGCTCGAGAGCGACTTCTCCCTCTGTAAGGGTGCGGACCTGATTGTGTGGGTCCGCTCCCGGAGCCGGATGGATCCGGATGGATTCCTGAAGGCCCTGGGGGAGTTTCCAGCTGACAAGACTGGTGCTCCTGTCGAGGCTCTGGTCGAACTGTGGAACGGGGAGATGACCAGGGCTGTGGACACGATCACTCCTAAGCATCCTCTCCCACCAGGCAGAGCCCGCTCTTCCCCTTGTTATACACCTGAATTCTGGGCGCTGAAGCAGGTTGGGAGACGGCTAGAGCGTAGGTGGAGGAGATCACGGGATGAATCTGACCGAACACACTTGAGAGCCCACTATCAGGCCTATGCTGTGGCAGTGAGGGCGGCGAAAAAGAAGTTTTTTTCCGCTTCCATTGCCTCCTCACAATGCCGTCCGGCGGAGCTTTTTCGAGTGGTGCAAAGCCTGGTTTGCCCAAGTCCTAAGGAAGATCTGGTTCCACCCTCAAAGGCCCGCTGTGACGACTTTGCCAGGCATTTCAGGGAGAAAATCGCTCAGATTCGTCATGAGCTGGACTCCACTAGTGCATCAGAGGTTTCTGGGGAGACGCCAATGCTGCCTTCTGGTCCAGAATTATTGGATGAATTTCAGTTATTGTGGCCTGATGATGTGGACAAGGTGCTTGGACGAGTACGTCCCACCACTTGCCTATTGGACCCTTGCCCGTCTTGGTTAATAAATAACTCCAAGCACGGGATTGGGACCTGGATCTTGGAAGTGGTTAATGCTTCTCTGAGGGAGGGTCAGGTGCCTGCCCCTTTAAAGGAGGCGGTAGTCCGACCGGTCCTGAAGAAAGCGTCACTGGATCCAGAGATGGCCACTAACTATAGACCTGTGGCCAACATTCCGTTTCTGGGCAAGGTGTTAGAGCGGGTGGTAGTGGGACAACTCCAAGCACTCTTGGATGAAACTGATTATCTAGACCCATTTCAGTCCGGCTTCAGACCCGGGTACGGTACTGAATCTACCTTGGTCGCCCTGTACGATGACCTGTGCAGGGAGAAGGACAGGGGGAGTGCGTCCCTGTTGGTTCTCCTGGACCTCTCGGCGGCTTTCGATACCATCGACCATGGTATCCTTCTGGATAGGCTAGCAGGATTGGGGGTCGGAGGCACTGCTTTGCAGTGGTTCCACTCCTATCTCAATGGCCGATTCCAGAAGGTGGTGCTGGGGGACTATGGCTCTGCGCCATGGCAGCTATGCCATGGAGTACCGCAGGGCTCCATTGTGTCCCCTTTGCTGTTTAACATCTACATGAAACCACTGGGAGAGGTCATCAGGAGGTGTGGGCTGCGGAATCATCAGTACGCTGATGATACCTAGCTCTACCTCTCGTTTTCTACCAATCCAGGTGAGGCAGTGGCTGTGTTGAACCGGTGCCTGGCCGAGGTAATGGGCTGGATGAGGGCCAATAAACTGAAGCTCAATCCAGACAAGACGGAGGTCCTGTCGGTTGGCGGATCGGGCTTCGGAGAGGGTGGATTTGACCTAGTCCTGAATGGGGTTGCACTCCCTCTTAGGGACAAGGTCCACAGCTTGGGAGTACTCCTCGACCCGGAGCTTTCATTGGAAGCTCAGGTGACAGTGGTGGTGAGGAGCGCTTTCCTTCAGCTTTGGCTGATTAATCAGCTGCGCCCCTACCTGGAGTACGACTGCCTGGCGACGGTGACACACGCGCTGGTGACTTCCCACCTTGACTTCTGTAACGCGCTTTACGTGGGGCTTCCCTTGAAGACGGCCCGGATACTTCAATTGGTTCAAAATAGAGCTGCCAGGCTGCTGACGGGGACGGGGTGTTATGTTCACATGACTCCAGTCCTCTGTCAGCTTCACTGGCTTCCCATTGAAGTCTGGGCCCAATTCAAGGTGTTGGTGATGACCTATAAAGCCCTAAACGGCTTGGGTCCTGGCTACCTGAACGAGCGCTTACGTCCATATACGCCCACCCGCCCCCTGAGGTCTGCGGGAGAGGCCTTTCTCCGGGAACCCTCCGTGAAAGAAATTAGGAGTGTAGGTACTCAGAGGAGGGCTTTCTCTGCGGTGGCGCCCAATCTATGGAATGTGCTCCGCAGAGAGGTCCGCCTGGTGCCGTCGTTGTTTTTTGGCACCAGGTGAAGACCTTTTTTTTAAAGTGTCATTTCAATTGTTAACAATATTTGTTTATTTACCTGGCCAGGGCGACTTCTTTTATATTGTTAATTTTATATTGTTATTTTTGTATTTTATTTTGTGTTGTGAGCTGCTCCGAGGCTTTGGCAAGGGGCGGCATGGAAATGTTTTAATAAATAAATAAATAGATAATACATAAGCTCAGGAACAGGTATCCGTTCTGTTTCCTCTGCTGTGAAGACTGATAGAAACATTCAGCTTCTCTGCAATCTCCTTACCCCCCCTTCAGTACTAGTTTAATTCAATTTTAATCCAATGGTCGAACTGCTTTTTTAGCTCCTTTCTTCTGAAATATTTAAAGATATGAATAGTGATAAGTTCCTCAAAGAGTTTCCTTGATGCTTTATTGCCTGTTTGCATGTACTACCTTGCGATCTCTTTTTTCTTCTTCTTCCATTTGGGCAAGGCTTTCATTTTTTGAAGAAAGTTTTCTTTGCCCTAATGTCTTCCTTGTTTTATGCATTAATGGTGTTGATGATTTTTTGGACTTCATGCAACCTTTCCTCATTTGTGGCATGTATATTATCTATGCTTCTATGATAGCGTTCTCAAATAATCTCCAAGTACTTAGAAGCAATTTAAATTCTTGGTTTCCCTTTTTAGCTTTTTCCTTATCCTTCCTAAGTGTTTCAAAGGCTACCCTGGTCAGATGAATGCGCTACAAAACCTTTGCCACGCCTGAGGTGAGAGTGGCCCTTTTCACGCAGAATGCAGTTACATTGGCTCACTTCAGCCCTACTGCATTGACATGTTTAGGACAGCCATATTGCCCTCATCTTGTTTCATTCACCAGTATAATTTCATAAGTTCAATGAGAGCCAGTGTGGTGTAGTGGTTAGAGCACGGGACTGGGACTCAGGCAATCTGGGTTCAAGTCCCTGCTCAGCCATGGAGCCAACTGGGTGACTTTGGGCCAGTCACAGACTCTCAGCCCAACCTCCCTCACAGGGTTGTTGTTGTGGGGATAAGATGGAGGAGGAGAATGATGTAAGCTGCCTTGAGCCCTTTGTAGGAAAAAGGCAGGATATAAATCAAAAAATTTAAAAAAATATATCTTTGCCTCTTCTAAGGAGACTTTTGGAAGAAGGGTACCACAAAGAGGTAGACAAACAAACAAGTGTTAGGGCATGAGGATGTTCCGTCACAGTGGCAGAGGTTACCACTCCCAAAGTGGTTGGGTGAGGGGAGCCACCCGCATGCAGGGTGCGGCTCCAAAGCGCCACTTTCAGGCCCGGTGTTTTCTCACCTGCTTAGCAAATGCCTGGCAGTGGTAGCAGGCATCAACGACACGGGTTTCTCCCAGGCAAGAAAGGCACGGGGTGGCCATCGGTAGGCGGTAGCTTGCTCTCTGCTAAGAGGGTGGTCTCCGCCATGTCACGGCCTGCGTAACTTCACTTACCAGGTGGTTGAGAAGGCAGGCAGGAGCAAGAACAGAAAAGCAATAGGCATCGCCCCAAGGGCTTCGCAGGAACAGTGAAATAAAATGCAGTAAGTCAAATACTAACTATGTATTACTACTAGTCAAACAGACATTTTATTAAAAAGTCACCATACAAAGTATCTTGAGGTAAATATACACAAGTTTCATCAACAACTTTCCAACCCAACCCTGGCTCTGAGTAGTTATCTCAGTAACACTGCATAGTTATTGTCTGGAAAACGACCAAATACTTACAGAAATACGAGAACAAAATAGAGGTATCAAGTAGTTTTAAAAGAAAAAGTCCTAATAGTCCAGGCATTTTAATCACTGGCAAATAGGTGAGACAGGTGAGCCTTTTGGTCCACATAAGATGCCTTCAAGCCAAGGCTGCACATAGCCAGAATGAGTAGGTGCCACACTGCAGCTCACTCTCACACAGTAATTTTTCCAGCTGTGGACAGCCAACTAATATTGGGATGCATTATGCATCGCTACAATAAAGTGAGCTCATGAGGGCTAGTGCAGTGTTTGCTACATATTACGAACTAAAGTGGAGTTCTGCTTAAGTCTTCGCATTCCTTCCTCATGTAGGAAGATGGGGGCCGAGCATATATTCTAAAGTGAAGACCACATTTTTGTGGAAGTGAAGCCTTAGCTCCAGGCCAGGCCCTAGGAGAGAGGACTGGGCTGAGAGAGGCTTTCTTGGATAGTACACTTTAGCCGACTGAAGGAAAAAGCCTTCAGCATGTGCCCTCTACCACAAATGGGGAGTTCTGCATAATCCAAGGACTTTGCAACCGAGTGTTTGCAAACAGGCTCTGCCCACCTGGGGGAGGGGCTACCGGTTCATTGAGCAGGGTGCCCCCCTGTGTAGAGGTGCATTTAGAAGCCCCGGTCTCAATGTCACATCCTTCTGTGTAATATTAACTTCTTTTAAAAATCACTGGTTCATTCTTTATTTCAAGTGCATAATTGTACAGATCACAGAAACCCCCTAGGTGGAGCAGTTGCTGTCTGACTCTATTAAACAGGAACTCCAACATCCTCAACTGATAATGACATGAAAGGCAAGGGGATGATTGTCTGAGTACACAAGACTTGTTAGGATATAGCTTGATTTAAAGGAAGAGGAAATTTGGTCTACGTGGCTCACTTCATGGCTTGGGTTTACCCAGCATTTTTTGTTGTTTTAAACAGACAAAGGAGGGGGAAGCCTAAGCTCTCAGTGGTTACATGCTATAGCCTATGCTCTGTTCTACAGAGACATTTAAGCAGTTTTCATCAACCAGGCACCCTCCAGATGTTTCAGATAATTCCCCATACTCCAAATTGCTGGTCCTGTGAGCTGATCCTGATGGAAACTGCAAAGACCAAACCATGTGGAAAGCACCAGAGTGAAAGAACCTCTGTTAGATTCAAGGATTGTGTCCAGGGCACATGGCTGTACTTTCCAGGACCAGTGCAGTCGACATTCCTGGGCTTGAGTTTCGGTACAGGGAAGAAGGCCCCACCTTACATGGGAAGTGGGATTTGTTACCCCCTTGCAACTCCAACCTAAGAGCCACTAGAACGCCTGAGCAAGAACCAGCATGCCCAACATCAGTGCAGACTTGTGATGGTGGAAAGCAAGGGCGTTTCCTGCTTTTTATCAACAGTTTCCCTTGTTCGTGTGTAAAGGATGTTGTGGTAAGCACTGAATCAAAATCTTCCGCCTAGGACTAAACAGCTACAGTTTAGGGCAGGCAAGAGATATTTAATAAGATATTCCTGATACAGTATAGCTGCTGCTGAAACAGGAAAGTACGCAGGCCCACGTTTTCCTAAAGCAGCAATCATGCGGTTTGTGTTGCTTTTGCTATTTAAGTGAGACCCCTTTAAAAATGAGACTTTTTACTTGAATTTGACTGCATCAGGCAAATAAGCTTAGGTCTTGGCTGTATAAACTCTCTCGCTCACTCTCTTTCGTGTGTGTGCATGTCCGCACGCATGCGCACTACACACTTGTTAACCCTGTTTAATACTATTTCCCTGCCTAAATCAGCAAAATATTAAAATTCACAACAGATGTATGTAAATGTACCCTTTCCTACATGGCCTCCACATTGCTGCAGAATCATTCATATACCGTAACATCCTTGCCCATTCAGTTATTTAAACTTTTTTCTGTGAACTCATGCATAGGCAAGGAAGAATACAATAACCTATTTTGACTGTAACTTATTCTAGGATTTCTGAAGAACACTCAGAACAGATACAAAGCTTTTCCTATAGAATTTTCCCTGTAAATGAGCAATGTCATCTTGATTAAGGCACTGCCTGTGGGATTCGCTGCAGTGATCCACAGCAAAATATATACTGCTTAGTTAAAACTCAACTTATGCCCCAATCATGCAGTGGCAATTGGCTGGAGGATACATAGTCATCTTTGAAAAATTTTCAGCATGTTACAATACTGTTCAACAAAAGCCTGACACTAAGGCACAAGGGGCTGCATATTAAAACAAATGCTCAGTGCAGACCTCCCTACTTCGCTGCAGTAAACAGTGGTACTAACAGAAGAAAAAGCTCTCTTGCAGGTCAAGAAGCACCAGTGCCAGTGGGACAAAAGCTAAGCATTTGGCACAGGTACACCTGGCTACAGTTTCCCATTTCAGTACCTTATTCTGATGAATAGAATACAATGAGCATAACTTTGGTCCATTAACCCTGAGCCACAAGGGTAGCATTAGGCAGAGTAAGAGCTGTTCAGTTTGCATAACCATGCATAAAAAGAGCAAGTAATAGGAACAGTCTGATTTTTCCCTCTACCAAAAAAAAAACTCTTTAAAAAACACTGTGATAGCAACCCCAAAAGCCTACGTTAAATATTCCACCAGTATTTTAAGTGAATCCAGTAAAGAAGAGAGAGTTCAAGTAATGTTCAACAGATAGACAGGTTGTATTAAGGGGATCACTCCTGCACATTAAGGGGACCCACGCCAGCGCACTAAGTGCAGACAGCAAGTTGCGACACCAGTTCAAAAATTCAAAGCAAGACTGTTTCAGAGGCTGAAAGTTAGAATACCAGCACCTTCCAGCCTGGATTGGGGAATGAACACCCAAAATACAGAGACTCACAGCACTGGTCAAGTACCCAATCAAAGACCACTTCCCTGTTGTTGGAGCTAATTGTCACTCTAAGTTTGAGGTTCCCCCCTTCATTATTGTTGGAAGGGCCCAAATTCACAGCTTCCATATCAAAGGTCACAGATGATCCTGAGGTAAAGGCAGGCAATTGGTTTGTCATCTCCTTTCCATTTACAAAGACAACCCCTGAAACAGACAAGGTAAGAAATATTAGTGTTTACAGTGTCTTGTCTCTCACCAGCTGCTCGTGGAAATTGCAAGAAACCCTGAACTGTGGTTTGAAGCTATATACATCCTTCATTTGTTTTCAGAACAAATGTGCAGAAGTTACTAGTCCACATGAAATAAGCACTAACCCATTTGTGTTATTGCTCTGTGGCTCAAATAGCAAAAAAATGGGGCAAACCCTATTCTTATTGTCACCTTTAAAAGCTGCTTTTTCTGGTCACCTGAAAAAAAATCTTACTTCCAACCAATGATGATGCCAAAAGCCTGCCTTAAAGGGGATTAGGGTTAGAATTTGAATCTGGGATAAGGTAGGGCTACATCTGAAATCATAGCTGGGCAGAGTCAGATGCTTTGTCACTATTACACTACAAAATTAGAAATATAAAAAGCATTACATCCAAAATTGTGACTGCGGAAATCTATTGGTACGGTGGATTTCCTTTCTCCTCCACACTGCAGTCCTCCACATCACAGAAAAGTAAATTGCAAGGTGTTTTCCAGGCATATGAATTAGATTGAGAGCGCACAGGAAGCTGGAAGAATCCCTCACTCCCAGTTCTGCTAATGGAACTGCTTTGCACCAGCAGAATGGCATAACTGAATACAAATCAAAGTGTTCACACATGAATTCTTGTGTAGAGATGTGAAGGTCCCCCTACTACTCAAAAAAATGGCGGGGGTGGGGGGGAAGAACCTGGAAACAATGAAAAAGCAACACAGAAACCTCTGGAAAACTCTATTTCCCTCAAAGTTTTCCAGAACTCCCTGGATAAAAATGGATTTTCTGCAGTTTTCTAGAATTCCCGCACCCTGCTCCATTTGCTCCAGAATGCCATGCACCTGTTCTTCAGCTACTCACCGTTTGTGCTTACACAGACTGCTTTATCACGCTGCAAAGAATCACAGCCATTTTGCTTCTCCACACAGACTCCGATGCTGTCTTTTCTGGCTGGCTGGCCAATGGCTTCAATTCTATGAAGGACAGAAAAAGGGGCTGGATACATTTTTGAAATTTTAATATGAACTGTGGTTTAGGGCTGAAGGCCCTCTATATCATTGTGAAAATCCTAATGCTTAGGCATTCTCGCAAATGAAGTTTGTAGAAGAAACTTTCTTCCTGAATCAATAATTGATTTGATTGACCGTTTCTCTCTGAAGTACAAACTAGAAGAAAAAATAATCCTCATGTGCTTGGGCTTCTCCATTTACTTCAACATTGGGAATGATGGGATATACCTGCTTGTACACACTGGGAAGGGAGTATCACTTAAATGTTTTAATAAATGTTTTGATAAATAAATAAAATAAATAAATAAATAAATAAATAAAGGAGAACAGCTACGACCCACATCAAAGCAGGACGCAGACTTGATCTTTCGTGTTTATAACAGCTTTAGCCAAGGGGGCATTGTTGTGCCACGTAGAAGGAATAGTGCCTGCAAGGCTGGTGAAGAGCATGCAAATTAAAAATGATACACTAAGGCAGCCTGTTAAAAGGGATTCAGCTGTGTTTAACTACATCCCACTGCCAGATCTCAATGCCAAAAACCACTGGCACATTTTGAAAGCTGACTGGTAGCTTTATCAAGGAAGACTTCTGTTGAAATGAAGACCAAAAGCCTGATGGACAGATTTTAAGTCAACTAATATTCATTCTCACCCAGTCAGATCACACAGTTACCCCTCCATTTAACCAATACAGCATAGAGCCCACTATGTGAAAATACTGCCATTGCAGAGGATGGACCTTTTAAAAATAAATTAAATTAAATGACAAGCAAGATGATCCAGATGAGCACCAAGGAGTTACTTGAACTAGAATCAAAGAATATTTACTGATATTCTTTACTTAACTTTTTTATTTACCTTCTACTAAAGCATTTACTTTCCATTACTTTTTATTTACCTTTTTTATTTACATTCCATGAAAGATAGTGCTCAAGATTAATAAATGTATTAAGACTAAGAGTTATAGCAATAAAACACTCAAAGAAAACATAGATAAAGCATGCATACATACAAATAGGACACAAATAAATCAGTAACAGCAGCTATCAGATTAAAAATCTAGTTCCGAAAAAAAAATCAAGCTCAGATGCCAAAAGGATGCATTAAATAAACTTTGCATGCATCTGCTAACAAATAGTTGACTATCATAAAGAACATCATGCAGTTTCTTTCTTGCTTGCTCTGAAAAAAACCCCTAATCCCTCCTTTGTTGTTTTCTTTAAAGGATCCCCTGGAAGATGGTGCTCTCGGATGACCATTTCATTAGCAAGAAGAGAAACAGCAAGCATTTGTTACCAGCCTCAAAAGCAGATTTTGCACTTGGATTTTATGAGACTAATGGTGAAAACAGTCTGAGGAACATTCCCTGTAACAGCCTGCTATGAGAAAAGCAATGAAATATTTTGATGTCATGACCAAGTTTACAGAATGTATCCAAAATCCTAACCCAAGTGAAAATGGGAAGCATTAGTTTCCATGACCCCCATCTGGAATCTATTGTTGTGACTTCAGGGAAAATCCCAAACCCATTAAGCGCCTCTTTGAAATATGCCAGACATTGTATGGGAAAGAAGAGAGATAATATTCTTGTGCAGAGGACTATTAATGGAAAAGGGCAGATACCAAACTTATTCTCTTTATTCACACATACCTGCGCCACGCACACTTAGACTGACCAATGAAACCAAGTATCCACAGTTTGGACCTCTATGGTGAGAAGCCAATACACACCAAATGTTTAAGTGTGTACTTCACTCTGGTCAGCAGTGTCTACAACTTCAAGGAAAATGGTGCCAGTTTATTGTTGAAATGATATAATTTCCTCTAGTCCATAATTAAAACAGGCTGGATATGGAAAGCGAGCCAAACCACAGAGAAATGTAAGCATGATATTTGCAGAGCAGGAAATTAAATTGTTTGGCATATGTTTTTAAAGAGGGCAGGCTAGGCTGTAACTTAATTTCTTCACATTATTTTGAGTATAACTCAAAATTAGAACCAGATTGTACTGCTAAGACTCTAGTAAGCCTTCCTGTCTTCCAGGAAAAGTCACAGATAGTTTTTTCTGGTTTGTAAGGCAAGCCTCCAGCTAAGAACTTGCATGGCTTGAAGCAATTCACAGAGTAGACAGCTTGTAGAAAGTAAACCTGAGATTTAATACCCCCAGAAGCCTTTCCCTAATCCAATCTTGTCAAATGGCATGATTTTTAAAATACTGTTTTGAATTTACATTCTTATAAGCTGTGAGTCCAACCGACTGTTGGAGTGGAAGTTTTCCACTAAACTTTGGTTCTTCCATGATCCTATTTAATGCTACAACACTAAAGTTATATTTTGTAAGAATACACAAAATATTCTGGTGTCCAAGTATCTTTTCAAACAGTTTCCAAAAGCAGCCAACTAGATAACTCAGGGAAGCTCCCAAACAGAACATCATGGCAATTTATTATTTATTATGTTTTTATACCATTGAAGCTCTCTGAGTGAATCACAACTATTTAAAAACAGTTTGAAACAAAATATAGGGGGACATTAAATAGTTAACTCAAAGTATAAAATGAAAGTGAGAGTAAGAGTAAACAGTAAAAAGATTTAAAATATAATACAGAATTTAAAACAGAATTTTGGGGGTTTTTTTGGAAATGGCCTAATTACCATTTCCTGTAAAGCAGCTGGCACTGCTCCTAGACTCAGCCTGGTAATAATATTAGGAGTAATAAGCCGTGAAGACAAGGGTCAAGCACATGGATAGTCAACTAGACTTGGCTAAGCACCTACATCCTCAGGTTTATTTTTTATTTATTTTTATTATTTATTAAAACATTTTTATGCCGCCCCATTCGCCGAAGCCTCGGGGCGGCTTACAACAATAAATTAAATAATAATAATCATAAATTAAAAATGTAAACATTAGAATAAAATACAAACATACAATATAAAATAAGCCACCCTGGCCAGATAAACCACTAGAATTCATCCCATAAAACTGGACCACTCAGTGCTCTGGACAGCTGTACTAATGGAACTGCATTAATTGTGGTGCCCAAATCATGACCGAGCGGAGTGACTTTATCTCCAAGGTGCTGCACAAACTTGCCACAATGTGCCTCCACCCATTCTCTCCCCAGCCCAGAGAGAAGCAGACCACGAACCACTCAGGCAAGCTCTGCTGGGCCACCTTAGGAAGCTGCAATGCTGGTGGAAAAGAACTCCCACTTCGCTACCCTCTCGACTACAAAACAGGCTCAAGAATGAGCTCTAAACTGTGTTTGGTCAGATTTGGCATGAGTTTTTCCTCCCCCTGCATTCTAGCCTTCTTTCTTCTCACTTCACTGGGGGGAACTTGGGTGTGATCGTGTCTACTGCCTGCGTCTTCTTCATATTCTGCAGAGTGAGCAGAACTGCAACAGGAGCAACAGCCGTACCAGAAGTAACCCCCCCCCCCCGAGCCCTCTGGAATCTGTTAACCTCTGTGGGTGGACGATTTGAATAGGTCTCCCGCCTTCGCAAAGAGGACAGGCTGCTCAGAGGCTAAACCTTGGTAGGAAGGGATCTGACCATGACAACAGGTTAGATGTTCATTCTCCCACTTTCAGATCATCCTTCCCCCGCCCACTTGAGAAAACCAAATCAAGAGTGCTGGCCAATGACACTGAGACAGCCCCATGGTAGTCATGAAGTCCTTGAACTACCATGAATTTAACAGCCTTGGTATGGAAGCTGCGATCCCCCAGAACCATCAGTCCATATATTTTCAACGCCAAATCCAAGACCACCTCCATCAGCTCAGGCAGGGATTTAGAAGGGCAGCAGGGTGGACAATAAACTAGCAGGATCCCTAATCTGCCTCTGGTTCCCAACACAAAATGCAAACACTCAGACAGACAGGAAGCCTAGAGGGGGACAGAATTCTGTAGGTCACAGGGACCGCCTACCAACCCTCACACTGATGTTGGTGCCTCACTGAGTACCAAGGAGGGCACAACTGGGAAAGACTCGCTCCTCCCCGTTCCTCCATCCAGCTCACCTGTTAATGGCATTCACCTGTTTAATCCTAGTGACTGGCATTCAGAGATATATTGCTAGTCCACAGAAGTTCTGTTTAATTATAATGCTTATGTTTCATCACTTATAATGATGACAGAATGTACTAGAAGATCTAACCCAAGTTTGGCATAACAACCACATCAATTCCAGTTTCCAGTGACTTATATTTACTGAAGAACCAAAGAGAAATGAGTTCAGAAACACTACGTTGCTTTTAAAATGCAATGAAACTCAGAAGATTCTGCTATTGGAAGCTGAAAATCCTAACACAAATTTACCAAGGCAGCTTACAGGGAAGGGACCTGTGCCAGCTGCTTGAAGACAAAGACTGATTTCACAAACACAGGTGTTTTTCAGAGGCTTCACAACTCAGGAAAACAGACTGAAAATTCCAACTGACCAACCAGGGCCTGGGATGACCTGATCACATGTCCTCCAGGTGACAGCTGAATGTGCCAGTTTAACGAAGATGAGACATGGCACAGGTTCGTGGAGTAAGGAAGATTCTGGTGCCTGTTAGATGCATTGTCACGTCTGATCATGCCCTTTGTTCAGAGGCATTTCTAGAAAGGGGGGGGGGCGCTTACGGTTGGCACAGCCTACTGAGATGTAACAGCAAATTATGCTTTACCACAAATAAGGACCAGAAAATCCTAAATGGGTGCATAAGAGGGGAGAAATGAGCCGAAGGCTCATGGCTACTCATTCTCATGGCTGAACACACTTCTGGTCCAAAGATTCATTTCCCTGAGTTATTGTGAGGGAAAAAAACAATGACATCTAAGAAAGTAGATGACAAATTCTTGCAGGAAGCTGCAAATCCTGGTACCTGTGAAAGATGGGGTGGGCAGTGTGTGCCCCTCCAGAGTTTTGGGTTTGCAAGACACATCCTCCTTTACAATTAACTATGTTGGCTAGAGCTGATGGGAACTGTAGGCTAAAATAGCTGAAAGGCAGCAAGTTTTCCACTCCTGGTAGAAACTGTTAACAACCAAAGATGAAGCCAGAGAGAAAAAAGAAAGAAACCCAGCAGAAAATCAACGGATAAAAAATGCAGAATAAAGTTAACTCTCAAATGCTGTTTAAACAGAAACAGTATGTCTACACTGTGATTTCATTTGGTGCATTTAAATACCACTTTTCTTCTATTACAGAATGCAAGGTGGCACGAATGGGGGTCCCTAAATTGCCTCCCACCCAGGCAGTGGCCAGGCCCAGAACAGCTTAGCTTCTGCTAAGGAGCTGCATCACATGCCCTCAGACTATCCCCTGCTTAGCATGACACTCTGGAAGAAAGCCAAGAGGGAAGGAGCCAAACAGACTTGCCACAGGCTGTGGGGCCAAAGCCTGGGTGCAAGAGCCAAAAGGTCCCCGCAGCATGTGCCTGCTCACCTGGCCCCTAGAGCAAGAGGACTCAGAGCATGGCCCCCTGGGGTGACCATACGGAGCTTGCTACAACAATGGGAAAGCCTGTTAAGCAGACTGCTAAAACTATGTGTCTGTGTAATCAGATAATAAGCCTCTTAATCCAGTAATTACCACTGGCACCCGGGCATTTTCCCCTGGCCAAAACAGCACCATCCTGGGGGAGCCACTTGGCCAAGATGTCTAATCTCATTGTAGCGAATTAGAAAGCTTAATTCTGAAAGCAAACACATCCCAAGCACTCTTTTCCCACAGGGAGTTTCTGCTGAAGGCAGCTGTCCCAAACTTAGTAGGAGCTATAATTAAGTGGGAGGTGGCAAATATTGGATAGAAACAGATCAGTACTCTCATGTGGAAAAAGGAGCGGCTGCAACTACAATCTCTGTAACAGTTCCAAAAGAACAAGTGAGTCTTCCACAAAGAAATTACTAGTTAAGGGACCCATCAGAACAATTGAGGGCTTTAACAGACTTGAATTAAGACATGATTCAAATCTGGGCTAGTCTTCAAATGCAATGAATAAAGGAGAAGAACTTTGGGCAACATCTCACATCACATGAGACCTGTACTCACACAGTGGGATTTCTCTGCCTCTTCTCCCACCTGTTCACACTGTATACTATCCTCTTGTAGTTCTGCTCCAGAGAGTCCCTTACTCTCCAGAGCAGATTTTGGGGTCACAGGGGGTTGCGGGACTCCTTTCCACCAATGGGTGCTTTCCACTGGAGGAGCTCACCCATGTGGTGTTGATGCATGCAATCTTCTCATGCCTGTACTGGACTCCCAATTTTCTATGTTAATAAACCCTCAATGCCCCACCTCTTGCCCTGGGAGCCCTCATGCTGCCCCTCTCCCCTCTTATATCTTATATCCCCTCCCCTCTAGCAGCCAAGACGAAATATCAAAAGAAAACGGAAACCTTACTAACAAAAAACCCAAACTCAATTCAATGACAGGCAACAGTCAGGAAAATAAAAATAAGCAACAAGCGGATTCCAAAAGCTGTTTAGGTTCATGCAAGGAGTCTGCACTAAACCCAGGGGAATTCTTGACTTCTTCCACTTGGCCAGCAACCTGCTGCTCTCTTGAAACAGCCCCCGCCCCGTTTCAAAAGCGGCTGCCCAGTGCTATTTGGGGAGCTGTAAAATGAGTCTAAAAGCCGCCTGGACTTGAAGGACTAATTCCAGGATTCTTTAGATCCCTGGCTCTTCTCTTCGAGGTTTGCTTTGATGAAAGTATTATGGAGATGGCTTGTATAAGAGCTGGAACTGAGAACTCCTGGGTGCAGAGCAGCGTCAGCACCACGCTTGGCAAGGCAGCGAGAAAGGAGGGCACCGTGGGCCACATGTCCTGAGCAGGTGTCCCTCTCCAATCGGCCTACCTGCTTCCCACCAGCACCACTGCCTATTTCGCCTTCACCCCATCCACGCCATCGTCCAGAAGGCGCAAGGGAGTCACATGGCATCTGCTGCTCTCCCTTGCCGCGCTCATCGCAGCTTCCACCATCAGAGGGACAGGCAGGCAGTGCAGGCAGCCACTGCAGGGAGAGAACAGCGGGACCTCTGCTAGGCTGTGGGCCATGGCAGGTGCTCAGCCGTGCCGATCCTCAATGCTGGTCATGTTGCTTGCGCCATTTTTGTCCTCCTGGGATATTGTGGGGGTGGAGGCAGGAACAACGGAATGGGTGGAGTTCACATACAGGCAGTGAAAAGTACCATCTACCAAGCCAACAGTTCAACTGGCTAGAGCATTCCTATGTGGACTATGGCCTGAAGCAGAAAGCTATCAACTGATGTCATTTTCCTTAGAAAAACACGAGGCACCACAAGATCTATTCTGCAGCATGACTTACCGGAATGTCAACGTCTGGCCACAGTAGTAGGTTGGAGCCTTGGAGTACAGCACTCCAGCTGCTTGCGAATCATTTCGAAGTGCTATGTTTCTTCGGCTACTGAGGCTGTAGCCCTCCAAGCCAGGTGTCCATTCTAACCAAGTAAGGGCAAACAGTTACTAATATGCACAGATATCCATCCTCCAGAGATAAGACTATAAAACACTATTCCCAGGATATAGGCACCATCAGTTTACCTACTGGGAACATATGCACTGTGGCGTTCTTTCCAGGGGGATGTGTTTGCATGCATTCTATGATAGGAAGGCTGTAATATATCAGACCAGCAAACACCCCCCGCCCCCACAAATGCACGCACTTCAGTAATTTCAGAGAAATATAATGCCCTGATCCTAAAGTAGCTTGCAGCCCGATCCAAACCTGTTTACTCAAAAGCAAGTCCTGCTGGGATCATTGAGACTTACACCTGGCATAAGAATGCTCAGAGTACAGGCTTCCTTGGAAACCAACATAGTTTATTTCAAATGAGGGTCTCCGAAACTGGGGAGACATCAAGATTCAGTGCAAACATGGTGCTTCACTGTGAGGCCCAAGGACTGCTGGCAGCTCCAGCCACCTGAAGTCTCTCCCCCACCCCCGTGCAGCTGCTCTCTAGCTTGGCCTCACCGTTTGCTTTAGCAGCAGGCCAGCAACCTGGATCAGCACTACTGGAGGATGCTTTTGGGGTGGGGAGTCAGGAGCCCTGCTGCTCATCACCCGCGAGGCAGTGGTACGGAAAGGAGGGGAGTAGAGGAGCCACTGGCCCACTAGCTATGGTGCGGGAGGAGCCCAAGAGGCAACGGCAGCATGGCAGGCTGCTCAGGGGCATTGCCTAGGGTCAGAGCTTTTCCTGAAAAATGGGGAAGGCACTGGATTAAAGTGACTGGGAGCACAAGCACAGCGACTGATGCAGGGGCAGGGGAGAGAGGGATGATGATGGCGCATAGGAGTAAACATCCTGGGAAGGAGTAAATTGATCTCTCTGTTATCATGTTATATAGCATCTATTTTATGTTTATAAATGTTTGCTGCTGAACCAAGTCTGAAAAACAACAACAACAATACCATGAGGCACTAATGTGGAACAGCCAATCTGAGGAACACTCCATGGGCTCCATTCCTGGCGGCCATCTCCTCGCGCACAGACCCTGAACTGGTAATCCACGTTGGGATCAATATGCAGCACCGTGAATTCTGTGTCTGAGCCGACGTACACATCCTCAAAGTGACTGGCAGTACTCTTGCGACACTGAAGCCTATAGTCTTGCGGGATGAAGTCCTCGTCAACCTGCGCAAGCGTCATTTAGTCAATTAACACAGTGGCTCGAATCGTCCTTCACTAGACTGTCTCAGTGGCTCCCTGGACTTCAGTGTATCAAGGCCATCAGGCATGCAGGAGCAGGTTAAGGTAAACGCTGGCCAGGGTGGTCCCTAGGACAGCAGGAGTGTTTTCCAGAAGCATCTTCACAGCAGTGAAGGTGCAATGCTCAACCTTCTTCTCTTTAAAAGGGCAAATGCAGATTCCCAAGAACATGCGCCACATTGCCAGTGTGTGAGAGGGCACCCTCCAGGGGGGATGTCTGCAACTCTCTGAACTTGGAGAACTGCTGGCATTCTATGTGGAACGGGAGACAAATGGAGGTGGTCTTTCCTCTGCGCTCCTCCCACTCTGCAGAGCAGTGAGGTGACCGATCTACCTGCAGCGCTTTGGAGAGGGAGGGAAGGAGGCTGGAGTGTCATCAGGACAAGACACACCTTGGAGCCACCAGTCTCCTCCAGATAGAACATGTCCTCATGCCCTCTCCAGGGTCACTTCTCCAACCTTGGAGAAACATCTGGCACAGTACTTTCTGTGTCAGCTGCAAGGGGATGGGACAGAGGGATCCAAGTGCAAATCCCAAGTTCTGAAGTCTGAGTTCTTCCTCCAGCCTCAGATCTGGGACTCCAAAAAGATGCTGTTTAGGGGGCTACAGTATTGTCCTGTTAGTCTCACTTTTCATCCACTAGATTGTAGCTACTTTGCCAGTCATATGGGATCAGAAGACAGTCTTTCTGCATACCCCTTAATGCTGGTGTGGTGTCTGTGCAAGATGTGAACCCAGCTACATTCCTATCTGCTACGGTCACTTCAAAGGTAAAAATGACATTTAGGGCACAACGCAATACATGCTTATGTCCTACAGCCACCAGTATTTTCTAGTCGGCATGGCTGGCTGGGGCAAGCTGAGAACTGTAAGACTTTTTCCTATCCAAACATGCATAGCTTTGCACCCTTAAACAGCACAAAAGGTTGGAGGCAGGTACCATCTCTTAGGACATGTTTTCCAGTGTGTCAGATAAGGCTACTGGAATAGTAACAATTTAATGACAGCATCATCTCAACATAAATATTTATAATCACATAATCATGGAATTAATAACTGCTGCTTGTATTATACACTCATGGGAAAGCCTGTGGTTTAATGAGATGCTTCTGACTTTCTTCCCCAACAATGTCTCTATTTTCAAGTGCAAAACAATTTAGAAAGAAAAGGGAGAAAAATATGCTTTCCGTACTCTCTCCATTTTTGGGTGTAAATGCAACATATTTTTGGGTTGCAAGAAGCCTGTGGAAAATGTTCCAAAAAGACCAAGACAAAGCAGATGTTTACACCCATGGAGCACAGCCCCTACAAGGCATGGCCTCCAAAGCAATCCTTGAAGGTGGACTTATTGCAACAGAATCTATTCCAAACAAAAGCACCTTCAGAGCAACCCAGTGCAAATTTTACTGAGAGCAAGACTCAGTAAGCACAGTGGGATTTACTTCGGAGTAAGCATGCACAAGATGGTTCCGTTAAGTAGTCGGCCTGTCATCCATGGAAGAGGATCCCTCTCGGGGAGAGATAAGATAGAGGGGAATCCACTCTTTGCCTAGAGAGCAACAGTTCTGTAGGGAAAGAAGCAGCTCCACCCTTAGCAGCCTTCACTGTGTGGCAACAGCAAAGAATGTTCTGTGGATTGTACACCCCCAGCAGATTTTCAAAGAGTGTTTTTTCCCCACTCTTGTCTGCACATAGAGGGAATGATCTTGAAAATACCATTTTGCTCACCTTACACCATCGCACTAGGATGCCCCCAGGCTTCTCTACCAGTTCTTCAATTTGTACTGGTGGTTGGGATGCCACAGTTCCATGGTTAAAGATCTGATTTTTCACGATTGCAAGAAGAGAATCGTCCAACTGGGCAGACAGAGAAGGCACATCAACCAGCGATGGAACTTCTGGCAAACTAAAGGAAGAGAAAACTATTTATACTACCTGGTAAGTCACTTCTTTCATCCAGACCCTTTAAACGATGCACCAAGCCTTTATCACTCTGGTGCTTCCAGAAAAAGCTTTTATTGTGCATGCAGTCTTCCTTATTTATGGAATTTTATCAATGAGGGTGGGCAGGCAGGAGGGGAGGTCCAGACATGGTCCTTTCTAAGTATCTTATATGATCCCAGTGTTTCTCCCATCTTTTTTTTTTTTACCAGAAAATATCCATTAAGGAAGAAAAGACAGAATAGCTGCAAAATGCCTTTTCTTTGCTAGGACTAACAGTCTTTTGTTCAAAAGCACCCTTGATTTATTATTACATTGCATGTATACTGTGCCTTTTTTCCTCTTGCAAGGAAACCCAGGGTGCTTACAAGGTTCTCACCCTCTCCTTTTCATGTTCACAACAATCACCCTGTGTGGTAAGTTACACTGAGAATCCATGATTAGCACAAAGTCATCCAGGGAGCATCAACACTGAGTGTGAACTAGAACCTGGATCACTCAAGTCCCTGTTCAACACTCTCACTACTCTGCCATACTGTCATTTTTGGATCATATCCCCACCACCCCTTAGTACCTAAAAAGCCTGATCAAAAAGAAAGGAATATCAAATATATTTCAAGCTCCAGACAACAGAACAACTCTTACAGTGAAAATCTGTACAGGTCAACTCAGAAATAAGTCCTACTGAGTTCACCAGGGCTTATTCCCAAGTAAGGAGACTTTGGATTGCTGCCTTTATAACTGAAGCGTAACCAAAATAATTTGTCTATTTCTCAGTTGCAGTTTGTTCTGAAATCTCTGGTGTTAAATCAGACTGTACTTTAACTGGAGCCATCTGAAGGTTAAATCCCATTCTAAATACCAGTCCTGCTGGTTCATGTGGGATCAGGCCAAGAAAGCCTGGCGTGAGCTTTCAAAATAAGAGCACTTTCTATTTAAGTCAGGTGTCCTAAGTGGAAGAAAGGGACTATACACCAGGAGTAGGCAAAATGTGGCTTGCAGAATTCGGGGGGGGGGGGGAGTACGGATGGATGGATGTGGTGCCTGTGGAGCTATGGAGCAGCTGAAGGGTTCTTTGGTAATGTAACTGATGCCATCTCATTTTTGCTAAAATCAATTTTGGTGTATGGAGGCAGGGGTGCGGTGCACAGAGGAAGACCAGAATGCACAAGCTGCACCAAGCTTCCCACACTTGCCCACCCTTGCGCTAAACCAACCCTGTGGCACATTCACTCTGGCAGCAAACCTCCACTGCTAGTGCATCCCTCTTACCTATCCAGTTGAATATGCAAAGCCTTTTTAGTAAAGCTACAAAGCTTGTCGCTGTCCTCCCAGGTAACTCCATGGATGGCACTTTCTCCTGGAATCAAACAGCATAAGAGATTGTCCTACTGAGGAAAAAACAAGCACCCTTCATGCCACAACAAAAGGTAACCTGGCTTGGAGGCAACTATTGGTCCCCCACAACTGATTTCACTGATGTATGATTGGCATCTATTTATCTGACAATTATAGTTGCTGATACATTATCAGGTGGACCCAGTACAAATAACTTACAATGAGTAAACTTGTGAAATCCAAATAAAATGCGAACCTCGAGTATAAGACAAATCATAACAAAGGCAGCTGTTTTCTCCAGGTCTCCTTGCAAGTCTACCTCTGCAAGGAGCAGCGGCTAATGAAGTTGGCACTTCACCTAACTAGTGGATCCTGAGCATGGTTTGGGTGCAGTACACCCCTCAGCACGTAACACCCACATCTTTTCCTCTTCCCTTCACCCCACTCTGCACGGGGGAGGACAGAGGGGAATCCAGCAGTACCCTTTCCTGTCCCCTCTCCTCTATTTTGATGTTGACACAGCCTGCCGTATTCCCCGCTCAACAGAGGTGTCGTGCTCCTTGAGTCCATCTGCATCTGTTATAAATCCCCCACCCGACTTCTCTGGCTTCATTTGGAACAAATGAAGAGAGGGAAGAAAGGCCAGTCTGGATGATATCTCAGCTTAGTAAGCCAAGAGAAGAACAAGCCTTTTCTCTAAGAACAAACTCATTTATGTACTGTACGGCACAATTGAATCAGGAAGCCTTTATTGAACGGCACCTTCCCATCTCATTCGAACTGGGAAGCTACAATTACCTGCTCCAGAACAAGCCAGGACAGTGAGGCAACTACAAAGCAGTGGATTAATACCCTGACCCTTTTAAAACTTGGTAACCATAGTTTCTAGGTTTAGATGGAACAGACCTATGGTCAACTGAAAACTTCCTGGCTTATATGCCTGAGGTGAGGTATGACTATCTGAACACAGACTGGTGAACACAAGTGACTGATGCAAAGTCCCCCTTGTTCTTCGCATAGAACAGTAGAGTTGAAAAGGGGCTGTGAAGGCCACTGGGTCCAACCCCCTGCTGTTGCAGGCCACCAATTTATACCATCCCACTCAGATTTAAGTTCCTGTGACACTTCAGATGGTTTCCTCCTGTGAGGAGGAGCCAGAGCCGCTTCTGCATAACAGAGCTCTTCTGAAGGCCTCATCTGAAAAGACCACATTCTGCGATCAAGGGAGGGCATGAATCTGGTGTAAAGCAATCAGGTTCTGCACAGAAAATGGAATTAAAACAACGATGGGTAAAATCAGTCATTTTACAAAAAGCTACTGTGAAACTTTATACATTTTATTTGATTTCATTTGGGAGAGTAAAGTATTATGAAGGCTCGTCCTGCCTATCCTAAAACAAAGCCGGGGGGATGAGAGTGTCATAGCTTCTTGGAGGGACAAATGTTTGGCTGGGCTGAGGCTGCCACTGTGGCCCCAGATATCTCTAACTGAAGCATTTTAGCTACATCAGACAAGGGGACTGGAGGTAAAGCTACACACTGTGGAACACACATGGCTATGGCTGAAGCACATCTTCACAGAGAGCTTTAATAAGATGCTGGGGTCTGATAAGACTGTCATGTACTTCCTCACTTTACTTCACTGACTTGGGGCAGGGAAATTCAAAATGTGATGACTTCAGGTTACCAGGCATGTTCAACAAACTAACGGTGTTACTGCAGACAGGGGTATGGGGCGCTGGCAGGGAGCCACACATCTCCCTGGAAAGCCACTGACAGCTGTTGGCAGCACTGTGGTAGGCCATTCTTCATCAGCCGGGAAGTTTGTGGCAACTCTTGATTGCTAACTACATCCAACAAAACACCAGTGGCAACAGAGACATGCTCCAACCCCCATCTAGGGATTACGATGTCCCCAACGTCTGAATTCTTAGTCTGATAGTAACTGTGCAAGCATCTAGCAGAACGACCCTAGCAGAATAGCTCATTTGTACTATAAATGAAAAACAGTTATTGAAATTCCCATGTGTATCATCATGTATTGAAAACATGTGTATGTGCATGTGCGGGATGTCACATGGCAGATGTACCCCCTTTACCAGCAACTAATGTGCCAGCCGTAGCCCCTGTGCGTTCATGGATCATGGAATAGTAGGGTTGCAAGAGGCTATGAAGGCCACTGGGTCCAACTGCCTGCTGTTGCAGGTCATCAGTTTGCACCATCGCACTCACATGGCTGTCCAGTTTCTTTCTGTCTATAGTGTGGGGAGCACACAACCTCTCTAGGCAGTTGGCTCCACTGTTGTACTGCTCTGACAGTGAGGAAACATTTCCTGATATCTAACCTGAATCTGAGTTGATTATTCCATGCCTACACTCTGCTATCAGCGAGAAGAGATCTTGACCTACAGCCTCTGAGGTATTAATAGAGGGATATCATGTCCTCTCCCCGCTGCCCCAGCCTTCTCTTCTCAAGGCTGAACAAACCCAGTTCTCTCAGTCTCTTCTCACAGGGCAATGACTTACATGAATGCTAATGCATACACAGTGGGCCCTTTCATGGAAGAGAGAAGCTTGGTCCAGTGAGAATTTCTCCTTGTGCAGATGAGCCCTAGGCAAATGCACTGATATTCATGTAGGGGCAGTTCCACCAAAGATACATCCACAGGATGGAGCTCGCTAGTCCAGCCTCCATCTGCACATGGAGTAGGAGAAGTGGTGTGTGATCACATTCTCAAGACAGCCTCCTACCTTCCCGGACAAGTTCATCCGCTGTACCGACTCCATGCTCTATCAGCTTCTGGCACTCATCCAACGGTTTGATGCTTTGCTGTTCAATGGCATCCACTTCCTGCAGCAAGGTCACCAGCCGCTCATCCAGCAGCTTCTTTAAGGTCCCTTTTAAATCACTGAAATGCTGTTCAAGTACGTCTCTTGTCAGTGCAGCACTGTCTTTGATCTAAATGGAGAGGAAACACTTGATGCATGAAGATCTGGGATGAGCCAAAACTAAGATTTGCTGGTAGGAGCATTCAGAAACTGTACCCAAGTACAGTCAACTTAAGTGATGTATTTCTGAAAAGGATGCAGTACAGAGAGGATGAAGAGAGAATAAAATGAATCGATTTCATTTTATTCTACCCAATCTACCATTTTGCTCTGTAGTACAATTCAGACACAGTTTAAAAAATCCCATGCCAACCCAACACATACAGTCCAGTAGATTGGGGGAGACAACTTGTGGCTTTCCAGATGCTTTGATCTACAACTCCAATCAGTTCTAGTTCACATAGCAAATTGTGAGGATCATCGCAACTGTAGGCCAAAACATCTAGAGGGTCAGCAGTTGCACACTTTTGCAACAGATCTTACATGGGATTTCACTTTTTATAGGTTGTTATAAAGTGTTCTAAGCCTGTATAAGTTTGCCTTTTGTGGTGATGTCCTACCACATTAAGGACACAAATGTTTGCATGTTTGCTCAGGAAAAAAGCTTCTGAGAAATCCACGAGACAGGATCTTGAGGCTTTCTATCTTTAGGCTTTCCCATGAAGCTTGCAGAAGTTACTAAGGACAATTTTGTGCTTGAATTAAGTCAAGCTACCTGCATCTGAGGCTGCCGCCACTTAGCAGCAGCACTAGAAGGAGCTGAGCCATGCTCTGCTTGACCTGCTCTAGAGTAAACAGAGAAGAATTCCCCACTGGGACAGCACTATTGCTGCACAGTGGTGGAAGCTTTAGATGGGAAGGGCAGGCAGTGCGCCCCCTCCTCAGTATTACCATCACCAAACAGCACATGGACAGAATCATACACAAGGGTGCTCCTCTGGAGTCAGCTGAGCAGAACATGGCTCCCCTGTCCAGTCTACCTCTGTTAAAATCAGCAGCAGCAGCACTGGCAGCTCTCACCATGATTTATGAGGTCTACTGTCATCAATCAGCTGTCAGCAATCCCAACTGGCCCTTCCTTATCCCCTCTGACAAGCAGCAGGAAAGACCGAGAAAGCCTCAGATACCTGCAGGAGGACTGAGAGGAGGGGCAGAGGCTCAGAGCACCTCTCCTGCAGTGCCCCTGACCCTCTGTAAGGCACATCTCAGGCAGGGTGGCTTTTAGCATGCTGTGTGAGCCTGCCCAATAGAGTCAAAGGAGAATTCTCACCCTTGGAATCTCAGTCACTGGCTTAGTCTTCCCTGGCGGAGAGAAAACAGCAGGGCATGGGGAGAAGGCGAGCCAACTCAGATCATCTGCCACTTTCTCCCTACCATAGGAGAGAATGCTGTGCCCATGCAGCCAACATTCATATGAAGTCGCACACACGGAATGTATATCACCAATAAATTTAATTTTGTTTGTTTGTTTGAGAATTACCAAGCAGGAGCAAAACCAACTCATGAATGCGGCAGATGGAAGAAGTGAAAAAGCTTGAGATACAGAAAGGCTGCAAAGACGCTGGCCAGATGTAACTTCTTGATCTTCAGAAGTACTGAAAAACAGCACAGGATGCTCTACTACAGTTATGTAAATCTGACTTCCTCTTTAAGGCCCATTTGAAGGTCTCTGTAATGAAGTTATTTTTTCCTTCACTTGCTATTTTGGCACTTCAGAAAAAAGGAAGTGAATGGCTACATACATGGGTGGCAGGAGAGAAGGGAAGAACCTTTCTCCTATCTTTTAGGTCTTTTGCCTCTCAATCTTGTGGTCTACTCTGCAAGGCCAAATGCACATAGGCCATAGCCCTTCCCAACACGGTGCTGTTCAATCACAACTCCCATCATCCTCACTACCATGGTCCAAGGACAAATTGGAGCGGGATGGCGAGAGATTTAGTCCAACACACTGAGAGGGAACCAGGCTGGGGAAGGCTGGCATGGGATCAGATGAGAGGAGCCATGTTTGCATGAATGAACTTCATCATACTGTATGGGCAAATCCTGCAGCAGTGCAATATAAACAGTGAGACTCTGCTAGTGCCCCTGCACAGTAGAAGGCCTTTTCCCTTTGTATTTTTTGCAGTTTTTCTATATACTGCTTTTCATCGACCAAATGTAATGAGTAAAAGTAATTAAATCCACATACACATTAAAACAAATATGCTTCAAAAATAAAAATAAAAATGCAGCAGATAGACCTATAGTTAAAATGCCTAGGAGGGAAAGTAGGGGGGCACCTGACATCTGAAATATTATCAGTGTTGGTGTTGTGCGACTCTCCTTCGGAAAGGAGCCCTCTCTCTGATTGTTACCAAGCTCATTTCCAGTGGAGGAGGACTTGAAGCAGTATATCAGCAGGAGACCTTAGAGGTGCATAAAGGAGTGCGTGCTGGCATGAACGAGCTAGTTATGGTTAAAAAGGTGCAACTCTGTCAGTAAGATCAGGGAACCACTGATGCACTACTATCAGGAAACACGAGTATCCAAAACATAAAACACCCAGTACAAAGGCTCATCGTCCCAAGAGTAGACAGGATACTGCTGTTGACCATGGGGAGGAACAGACAGGAAAAATGAATACATTGTGAGGATGAACAATGGCAGCTTTCATCAGGGCAGAAGCACACCACGCAGGTAGCCACAGACTTGGATTAAATAAGGCTTACAAATGAACTACTATAGACTACCAAGTAAACAATCTTTGTTCAACCTTTCAGACCAGAGATTATTAACAAAGGTTAAATTTGGCACATGAGCTGATAAAAATTGTAATATGCTAGTGCTTTCTGTTGACGGACTTGCAAAGCTTGGATAGATACGCTCACACAAGTCCATGCATTAACACGATCTGAATACTAGAAAAAAGGTCCTGCATAGGAGACAGTTTCCAACACCAAGACATCTAGCACAGTCCCTCAGGATTGTCCACAGTGACTGGCAGCAGCTCTGCAGGGTTTCAGACAGGGAGTGTTATCAGTCCTGCCTGAAACTGCATGGAAATGATCTCTGCTATTGAGATGTGAGTAGAAATGAGTGTTGCTAAGTAATATTCTGAAATGCAAGATCTATGGACTCACTGCATCCTCCATAATGAAACTTTCCATATTAAAGCAATATAACTGGGAAGCAGCCGGATAGGTGACCCTATCCTAAATTAGAAATCTCCCTAATCTCCTTTCTAATCTCCCTAAATTAGAAAGAAATTTCAAGTTCTTTCTGTTCACCTTTAACTCTGTTGTCCTAGGATTCCTAAATATCTAGGTAACATAAGGTATATTTATCCTTTCCATTTCAATCCTACTTTTCTACTCATGGCACTCAAGGCAGCAAAAATACCATAAATAAGCAATAAATACATATTTATATTTTACATTTACAGTCTGCTTTTCCTCCAAGGACCACAAGGCAGTGTACATGATCCTCATCTCCATTTTATTCACAAGACAACCTTGTGGAATGGGTTAGGCTACAGGTCAGTGACTGGCCAAATTCACACTGCAGCTGAATAGGGCCAAGAACCCAGGTCCCCCAAGTCCCAGCCCAACACTCCAGAACATATAAATGATGTTTGTATTTATGCATTTATGTTTTTTCTGTATTTAAAAAAATAAAAAGTAGGGGGAAAACAGAACATATAAATTGAAGAAATCAATTAAGTTATGGCTTCTGCCATAGTCAAATGTACAGTCCAGAAATAGACCTATTGGTGAAGAATCGAGCCTCAGTTGCTTGTGCCAGCTGCTAACACTTGAGACCTGGCTAGCACACCTCTCTTTTACAGGACACACATTCATGGAGTTATGATAAAATCAGGTAGCCAGGAACAAGACTCTTGCAGCTGGATGACCTCAACATGAGAGCGAGGGATGGTAGGCCTAGTTCCTAAATAAACGGTGGTTTAAGAGGGCAGAGCAGAGTAAAAGCATTAAGAAGGACGCAGAAAGATTTTAACTGCAACATCACCTGAGCCTGCAAAGCCAGCTAGGGAGTAGAACCCAGCAGCTCACACGCCAGCAGAGAAGCTGGACAGGTGAGCTGTTGCCATCCAGCATTATACAGCATGACTCACAGTGCAATCTTGTAAATGTCTACTCAGAACGTGTTCCCATGCACTCAGGAAAGTGGGCTTGCAGTGTTAGTGGATTGAATTCCTGACTGGGAATACATGAACCTAGATCTTCCCAGTCCAAGTTCAACACCCTGACCATTACAGCACACTATTCTCAAAATTCTTTATGTTCAAGTCTGTGTTTCAACACAGAGTCACCATGTAGCTATGTCACAGTTTGACCAGTCCATCAAGATTGGAAGTTATAACCACCTTAGATGAACAAAATTAGATGCACAAAGGCAAGACCAAATAAGCAAAAGGTCTTTCCTGCGAACACTTATCTGGCACGAGTAGATGAGGTGGCAAGAGTCTGAGAAGCTGTAGTACTGAGTACTGATGAATATTGCCTTTTCAATTGTAACAGGAGAGCCATGAAAATAAGAACATATTGGCCATCACTACCAGCTGAAGACACTGAACAAAGCAAGTAAACAACAATAACCAACAGTCCAAACAGTGCGAGTTATACCTTATCCAATAATATTTCACAGTGCTCTTTACTACCCAAGCATCTTTAGTTCATTACAAGTGTTTTCCAATGAAAACGAGACTCATTATATATCAGATTTCCCCAGCCTGAAGCCCTGCAGAAACACTGGATGACAACTTCCACCATCCTTGGAAATTGTAGTCTTCGATACCTGGAGGATGTCAGATTATCTATAACAGATTTTCCCAATATGTCCTAAGTATCAGATATTCTGACTTTCAAGGTACTAGCAGACCTTGGGCACACCAAGTTCTAAACTGCATGCATACCTAAAGTAAATACAGTTGCCTATATAGTACATTTATCTTTCCTAGTAACTCTCCAAGGCTGGTTCTTCTACATTTGGAAGTTATTGTTCTTATACCTAGTCTTCGATACCTGGAGGATGTCAGATTATCTATAACAGATTTTCCCAATATGTCCTAAG